GCGCTTTTTCTAGCGGCGAAGCGTCCTAAGGTCGAGACTTGTCCGTTGGCGGCGTTGGCGTTCGCCGTATCCGGGCACGCGCAAGGTATCCATTATACGCCACGACGATGAAGACGATCACGGGAGACGACTGGCTTGTGCAGTAGATGACGTCTTCGATATGCTTTACGATGCATTTCGTATGACTGGAAACGTGCACAGACCTCGTCTTTGCCAACTTCGGACTAGATCCGATACGACAAAGCCTAATAACAATGAAGAAAAAAGGAAATTCAAAAGTAAAAAACATACAACTTATGACTGATAAACATTGTATACAACGGTGCACCGCTTCTTCACTCATTTACATGCGTGAGTGCTCAGTAGACAGTTTTAATTTCGCGCGAACAATGGCCTTGTGCACGCAGCGGGCGAGAGGGAGCAAGACTGCACATGGGCTGAACATGAAGGCGCGTTTACACTAGAGAAGACACGGCGCCGATTTGGGTCTGCCGACAGTCTTTGCGAGTGTTTTTTGTTTTGTCCTCGTCATATTTACACTACAACGACACAGACAGTCCATAGATTGTCTGTGGAAGACTCCGTTCATGCCTTGCCGTGCTCACAGCCTCCCATTGGCCAATTCTGTAGTCACAGTGGAGGCACACGCACCGAGACCTATTAAATTTGCACACCTGCACCTAACTTTAAGTCATGCTGCTCGGCCACTGTCTTTCTCCAGCTACGCGGCGCAGCTCCAGCTATAGTCCACGTCGTTGAGGAACGGGGGTGGTTATACACAAAAGGAAAGTGAAGAAAAGACTTTCATGGTGTGCGCAAGACGCCTATTCAAGCACCCCGGAGAGGGCCACGCTGCTCATACTATCCGTCAAACTAACGCCAAGCTGTGTACATACACCATTTACCACAGGCTTACAGTCAATGGACTTAAAGGAAACATTCTTGAACAAAGCCTGTACCTTGAACAAGCCCTACATTATTTTCCTAAGCATTGACATGTCCGATGCGTGATCAATGGAGGGGTAGGTTCACTGAAGCACATACAGTTGCATGGAAGGGGAATTCCAAAACGTCCCGGAGCAACAGAAAAAAAATTACTCGTATCTGGTCCAGGACTATTCGGGAAGTTGCTGGTCCTGTAGTGTCTGTTAGTTCCGTAAAGCTCACTTTAGACGGACACACTCAACTCGCTGCCCTCGATGTGTTGTGGTTACGCTCGCACCATTAAAACATTGCACGGCTTCATCATCTCAACAGTGCACATCTCTCCAGGAGCCTTGCGTACTGACGTCATGAACTTCTCGCTGCACGACGTCCATGTGGCGTGTCACTGCCTACGGGACGTGCTGGTGACAGTCACTCTTCAACGTTAATGGACTTTGACGTGAAACCCCGTGGCTAGTCACGTTTCTCGATGCCGAAGTTTGATTTCACCTCCTGTCGGACGTCACGCAATGAACTATTTTCAGCACTGTTTAGATATTGTGGTGACTGATATACTGTCAATTCAAGCACAATCGACCATGTTCGCAATATTTTGCATTGTTCCTAAATCTCCTAGTCGTACTTCGCCTTGTGCCGAAACTGAATTTTTTGGGAAAACTTACCAAGGTCTTTTTAATGTAGTCGTCTCAAAGATAACTCAAACGCCATTGTTTTCTTCTCCGTGGATGCAGTAATCGGAGGGGGAAAGGTGGGGGCTCCCAACTTTCCCCCTTCGAAAGCTTGCTTCATGTATAGCCTCCAACTCATTCCAAGCTTCTTGCACCTCACCCGAGTTTGCACTGCCTTCGCGATTGGCTCGCCTTTGACCGAATGACGAAGCCGCGTGATGGCGTCATCACGTGACGTCACGATGGCGCCACACATTTCGGCAGTTTGTGAAGTCATCAGGTGCTAATTTTTAGCCTCACTCGTGTTGACGCCGACGCTCAATACTCGTGCTGGATAAGGCATCTAGCACTTTTTCCTTAATAAATTTGGTTCCGAAATATGAGGAACTAACTAATATGTGCCCCATTTGCACCCTCACAAAAAAAAAACAAAACAAAAAAACGCCTCGCCCCACCGCGGTGGTCTAGTGGCTAAGGTACTCGGCTGCTGACCCGCAGGTCGCGGGATTGATTCCTGGCTGTGGCGGCTGTATTTCCGATGGAGGCGGAAATGTTTTAGGCCCGTGTGCTCAGATTTGGGTGCACATAAACAACCCCGGGTGGTCGAAATTTTCGGAGCCTTCCTCTACGGCGTCTCTCATAACCATATGGTGGTTTTGGGACGTTAAACCCCACAAACGCCTCATATAGCACGTGCGCAGTTTGCGGCGTGTTTATTTTACTATCACGCGAATCGCGTCATCTCTGAGCGTCTTCAACGAAGGTGTGCTGCTCGTGACGATGTCAATATGTCTCTCCTCAAGCGCACTGCGCAAGTGCAGAGACTTGCGTTGATTTATAGGCATAAAGGCCCCTGAGAGTGCAGTGCGGAAGGCGTTCCCATGTTCGCCTTAAGTGTGCTCACGACTCTCCCACCCTTTAACACACCTTACACATTTAGAGGCGAAGCTCTTAAAAGGCGTGGGTCTGTCCATCCTTCTATGTATGCACGTGACCGACTACAGTTCCACCTTCGCCAATTGCTATTCACTTCGTCCTGACAAACATACCACTATACACCCCATCACCGATCCAACACTTCACCGACCATAAAGCAAATACTATTTAGAAGTAGCCAATATGAAATGCAAGATGGTCGTGCACTTCTTTTCAGATGTGCGTTAAAGAACCATAGATTGTCCCACTGTGCCCCTTGTTTGTGCGTGAGCGCCTATAGTTGCACCTTTGCAAACTATCCACTACTCCGTCCTTGCAAACATCCCACTACGCCCCATCACTGATCCACCGCTTCACCGACCATAAATCACATACTGTTGATAAGTTGATTGATTTGTGGGGTTGAACGTCCCAAAACCACCATTTGATTATGAGAGACCCAAGTACTCTTGAGAAGTAGCCAATATGAAATGCTAGATGGCCGTGTACTTGTATTCAGGTGCGCGTCAAATAACCATAGATTGTCCCACTGTGTCCATCGCTTGTTTGTACGTGGTCGCCTATAGTTCCACCTTTGCAAACATCCCACTAAGCCACATCACCGACCCACCACTGCACCGACCATAACTGAGCCATTATAAAGAAGGGGGAACGGAAGCGACGTATAGCTACACTTACGAATAATAAGAGTCCTTGTATAAATATGTACAGTGTTCGTCACGTATTCGATGTTGTAGTGGGTGATATTCGCGGATGGTTCACGGTTTAGCGATGAAACCCTTCAGCGCTTCGCCCCACTCATCATCATTCACTCCGTGGATATGCCGTGATTTTTTCCCCTGCTTCTTAAACGCTCTTATTTAACAGCGCGAAAAGAAGACGGGACGCTGGAAAATAATCTACAAAGCAAACGCTTAGGGGTCTCGTCCTTTCTTGCGCTGTTAAATACGAACGTATGCCAATTATAGTCCGCATCTCGGCACCTCTACGCAGTCCTTTAACGCCACGACAGTCACGAGTTAGAAGCTCCGATGCAGGATAACGTCGTGAAGCGAGTACCCGGCATAAGCGTACCGCGTGGTTAAGCTGGTCCTTTCACCTCCTGACGAATAGAGCTCTACCTTTTCCTATAGCGTTATCATACGGCGCCCCTCTCGCGGATCACTCATGCGTCACCTTCATCCATGCACCCCTGTACACTCGACGCTACGGATTGCCGCATTGTTGGTAACTGATTAAGACTCTCTCGATACTTACAACCTCTGCTAGATTGTGCGTCATCTCCAGCGTCAATTGTTTGCAAGCGTCGAGAGAGCCAGTTTTTATACATATTACTTCGTCGTTTGACTTAACACCATATACTCGATTGTGATAATCACTGCGCGAAACCTGAAGTTGCAAAAAATCAACAACAACAAAAAAACTTTTTACGTTCCGTTGCAGCATCACCACGAAGCACGTGCACAGCACTGCAAACAAAACATGCTTCCAAATACTTCAATGCATTGGATATTGTCCTGTGACATGGCTGCGCTATTCATAACAAGAGAATTAGAAGCGTGAATGGCGTTTATTCAAACTCGCGAGCAAGCCCGCTTTTAGAAGCTTCACTTTGACTGCGAAAGTGGTGCTTTAATCACGATTGCGCAATGTAAAACTAAGGAATGGAAAACTAAGGAAGGGAATGTCGAACGGTGCGACAAAACTACGTATGCCGGTACGCAGTGCCAGTGAAAGGATGCCGCACAGTAGTAGCGCATGGCTCTGCATCTCGCTTGCCGTTACAAGATGCTCTCGCACTGTCACTCCTCCCCTTGCTAAGCTCGAAGACGCGGGTTCGATTTCCGGCCACAGGGGCCATATTTCGATTGCAGGAGGGGGGGGGGTGCTGTCAAAATATTTTTTAAAATTCTCTTTCACTTCGTTTTCGTATACTCGAGCTGCGGAGGCTTCAATGTTTGACGGGGGGGGGGGGGGGCAGAATACGCGAACACCCGTGCACATTTGTAGGTGCGCGCCAAAGACCTCCGTGTGTGGTGTCAAAACTTATGTGACGTTCCCCTGTGGCGTGACTCATAATCATATCGTGGTTTTTGGTACTCGAAATCCTAGCAATCACATTTGACTGCTATCTCAATAAACATTCGGTCGCGCGTACATTTGTGTGCATATTATTTGGCTGCAATCTTAATAAACGTGCGAACAATATAAGGCCCCGCGTACTGTCTTCAGCTGTGCAAACTGCAGACCAGCGTGCGCGAAGACGTGTCGATGATCGAAACGTTTTCGCGTCTCGGGGCGTTCGAAAGAAGCGCGTCAAAGCTCGAACCCGCCTGTGCTCTACATCAACTTAAGAAGAAAAGGCAGCGTGAAGAAGGAAAACAAGTTAAAAAATGGGAAGCGTGAAAGGGGAGTCACTAAAGAAGACCGCGGCGTGCGGCCCCTACTCACCCGGTCGCTGATGCCGGTGTCCTGGCCGACGGCTTGGCGTGCAGCGTGCGCCTCTGTTTCCCGAAGATAGTCGCTGCCTATCTCAGGTCCCGCTATCGCTAACCCACATCGAAGCTCGTTCATATTCGCTGCACCGTTCGGCTCCGAGCGACGCAATCGGAAGATTGTGCGAAAGACCCGAGACCAGGGCAGCGGGCATTGTTTTGCGGTGCCGACGACCGCCTCTGTCACCTTTTGTCTTGGGAGCCTCCGGCCAAAGTTTTTCGGGTCAGATGTGAACGCTCATTACGCCCTGCACGCGCCGGCGTGGCGTTCCACCACCTCTGTATGCGCACCTTCGCGGAGAAGCCCGCTGAGGAGCATCGCCGCCATGAGTCTTGAGCTCGGCCGAGACCCGTGTTGTAGTTCGTAAACGTCCTCGTGGTCGACCGTTTCACAACCCCTTCAGAGGCGACCAGCTGCCTTACCGCCATGTGTGTTAACGTGCTGGGGGGAGGGTCTGTGATATACTGCTTTGTCTGTTCTGTGGACTAGGAGAGATGGAGTGTACATGTCGCGCAGGTACGCCTGATTACAAAGCGTGAAACAAAAGCTTCATCCGCACACGTCGAACGTATACAACGTGTGCGGATGACGTATCAGTACTTCGCTACATGCAGTATATCCTTGATACCAAACAGCACGTGTGGTTCGACGCAGTAACCTGCGAATGTAGCGAGCGATTTGGGGGCACGTTAAAGAGCCCCAGGTGGTCGAAATTTCCGGAGCCCTCCACTACGGCGTCTCATAATCAAACTGTGGTTTGGGGACGTTAAACCCCACACATCAATCAAGCGAATGCAGCGAGCGATAGTTGCTTCACAGGCACATGAAGGCCAAATAGAGAGACGGCGGAAGGAATTGGCCGTGCGCATCAATAACCTTTATTCTCCGTGGTCCACTACTCTCATAGCAGGAGGTTGCGACTGCCAAAGAATAATGTTACTGCGCTGACTGTAGACATATCTTCCCCCCTTGAACGCAGATTTCGCAAAAAACTAGTCGGCCCCTCATAAGTCCGGAGAAGCTGGTACTTGAAGAAGTCGCACATATCACCATAGAAAACTGCCATCACTCAGTGCAGCGAAGGCGTCGCAAGCCGGGCGAAGCGTGAGGCTGACTGCAGTGCATTGTCCTTCATAAAGCTTCACAGTAATGGAGTGGCATGGTAGACGAGGAAAGTGCTTAACAGCACAAACGACAGGAGGGGATAGAAGAGACGAGAACAGAGCGCTGTTCTTGTCTCTTCTATCCCCTCCTGTCGTCTGCGCTGTTAAGCACTTTCTTCGTCTACCATGCAGCACCAACCAGCCAAATCAAGCACTTTGTTAATGTTGGAGTAGCATTTGCTTTTTTCATCGTCAACCTCACTTCATCTTTTTACCTTTCCACGCCATCAATAATTCATTGCGGTTTGACGCTAGTATTGCCGAATAGCACAACGCAATCTGCAAAGCATATACGGTGCCGTGATACTCTGTTTCAATCTTTGTTTTTGTTATTTGATGGTAGCAGCCAAAACCACGTGATACGTTGTAATTAACACTTACGCGACTGCAAATCTCGTAACTAGTCTCAGGACTAAAATATTTGACATCACGGAAGTACTCCGGTGACTGAAAACCCTTACATGAAATACTAGTCACGAGACTAAAATCGAATGACTTAACAGCTAACCACTTGACGTATTACCGACATAAACCACATAACTACCAGTCTGCGTGTGAATAAAATCACGTAACCTCACCTAACAGCTTGTCATGGGACACTTACCCACCAAAAGCACGTGACAGCGAGCCAGTGGCTATATTCACGCCAGAAACCACGTGGAAGTTGGTCAGGTGATAAAACTGTTGTAATATCTTGTTACAACTTTAGTCACGTGACACATTCTCACTAAAACAACGTGACACGGGTGTAGAGAGGGTAACCGAATGAAACAGAAGAATCTTGGTCAACGCTAATAGATCTTGTCATACTTACTAGCAAAAAGCAGAAGTGACGAAACAACTTGGCACATTCTGCGTGAATGACCACAATACTGCTCGCAGAGACAGTCACTCTCTAATGCACTAGACGAACTGGAAAACCAGGTTCTTTGATTGATTGATATGTGGGATTTAACGTCCCAAAACCACTTCATGATTATGAGAGACGCCGTAGTGGAGGGCTCCGGAAATTTCGACCACCTGGGGTTCTTTAACGTGCACCCAAATCTGAGCACACGGGCCTACAACATTTCCGCCTCCATCGGAAATGCAGCCGCCGCAGCCGGGATTCGAACCCGCGCCATGCGGGTCAGCAGCCGAGTACCTTAGCCACTAGACCACCGCGGCGGGGCTGAAAACCAGGTTCTTTCACAAGAAAGAATCCTGCGCTACTGACAGGACATGTCGCAGAAGAAGGCTGTGAAGGCGCTCCTGCGCTTCTTGCGTTCAACCGGCCTCTTTAAACGACTGTGATCGGAATGCCCTGAATGTGTGTGCGTGTGAATTTTTTCTAATTTATTTTATATCTCGCTATCTCTATCCTCTTTCCGACCCTTATTTCTCCACCCCTTTACAGGGTAGCAAACCAGTTCTTCTAGGTTTACCTCCCTGTCTCTTCCTTTTATTTATTTCCCCCCCTCTCTTTCTCTACTAGCAAAAAGCGTAGCATCGCTATAGCAAAAGCTCCGCATTACTAGAAAAACTAATCTAAGTCGAACACTGAAACTTTGTTTTTGGTTCCAGCAAGCCGCGCACTTTTTTTTACTCATAAAATGTGGCAAGTGATATCATGTGACTCCACGTAACTGCGATGGGCACAGTAAGTAGCATTGCCTCAGTTGCTCGGGAACAATGGTTAGCTGCAGTTTCCTTGAAACGTGGGTAACTATCTCTTCCACTGTGAGTCGATAAGTATCCGCAGTTCGGCCTTATCAACGTCACTTTCGTTCGCGCTGTTGCCTCCTCTTAGTCACCGTTACTCTATCTCATGGCGAACAACGCCTACCCCGCAGCATATAACGTGCCACTCATCACATTATGCACGTTCGCGTGAACCTGCTGCTGTTAGTAACATTTCGCTGTTTCGCACTATATACATATGCTACAATTATTTACATGTGCCACGCGTTACCAAGCAAGCGAACATACATTGATTGATATGTGGGGTTTAACGTCCCAAAACCACCATATGATTATGAGAGACGCCGTAGTGGAGGGCTCCGGAAATTTCGACCACCTGGGGTTCTTTAACGTGTGCCCAAACCTGAGCACGCGGGCCGACAACATTTCCACCTCTATCGGAAATGCAGCCGAGTACCTTAGCCACTTGACCAACGCCGCGAGGCGACAACCTTTACGGGACCGAGCAAATATATAAGACGGTGGTGTGGATGGAGCCAATACTTCATTGATGCCCGGCAAGACGCGTTTCGATGGTGAACAGCAGCATTTCTATGACACTATGATGAGGTGATGGCGTGAATATATGCTACCGGTAAAACGCTCCTTTGCTGCGGCAGTCGTGTCGTCTCGGAGCTGTCAACAAACCACCACCACGCAATCGCTTGCATTTGTGTATAGCGCTCGGACCTTAATTGCTTGGATGCCGAGTTTGTCGTCCGACTTTGAATTTATTTGGTGGTCAGTGTGAAGATCAAAAACTCGGGTCTGCCCTGTTCAGTCACTGGTGCGCGCGCGCACACACACACACACACACACACACACACACACACACACACACACACACACACACACACACACACACACACACACACACACACACACACACACACACACACACACACACACACACGCACACACACGCACACGCACGCACACAAAACATGTATTTCATGTCTACTTCACCCATGCATGCATGCAGCGTACGTTTCATTTCGGATAATATCCACGCCTGATGACGCAGCGGGTTCGCTTATTCGAATGTCACCTAGGTTGTGTTCACAGCTCGCTTGGTCTTCGTCATATTATGCAATATCCACTAGGATGGAGCTTGTTTATGGTTACGCCAAGATTAACCCCTGGTAATTACTTCTGGTTTCTCGAAACTACCGAAAATGTTATTTCCCCCTCGATCAGTTCTGTTTTCAGAGTCGTTTTCGAAGCGGCTGCTGTATATCGCCCGCTGCAGGTGCATGCAAAGTTATAACATTTTACGAGCCAATTATAATATAATTAGGAGGCACGCCACGGTGTGAGACTCCAGAATAATAGCGGCCCCTGCGTTTTTTAACGTGCATCTAAATCTATTTGAAGTGTAAGGCACGATAACGACAACAGACAGACAATAGATGACAACGGACAGCGCCACTTATGTTTAAATTGAGTGTCATCCCACCGTATGTTTGACATATGCAAAACGCAACACGCCCTTTCTGCCATTCTTACACCTAAATCTTAGCACAGTGTTACTACACTTCACTCCCATGGAAATGCAGCTGGCGTATGCGAGAACTGAACTCACAACTTCAATCTTAGCATCGCAGCACGTCAGCCTGATATAACTTATCGGTGGGTGTTGCTTGCAAGACCTATACGTATAAATGCTCAGCGCGAACGTGCAGCTTAAATTTATTTACATTGAGAGGCGCCGAAAAGTCGGCCGTCATCATCTGAATAAAAGAGCTGCAGAGCTCACGGTATGGTATTACAAATGGCTGTATTGGAAAGCCAGAGCCCAACTTTTTAAAATGTACAGCGGCTATTTGCTGTAGCATGAGTTTACAAGTGCACTTCCTTTTCATATCAATCCTGCGTTCTCGTTCCCCACAGTTAACAGTTGGCAATACTGTGCACGATAAATATTTTCAGACTGACAAGTCCAGAAAAGAATCGACGAACTGCCATAACCCCCTCATCACGGCTCTGCTCCTCGCACTGCTTGCAGTGGAAATGGTAGTACTTGACGGCCAGTTTTGTGCTCTTCGTAATTTTTAAACTTCTGTAGCAGCTCACAATGCAGCAGGAGTGT